AGAGAGAGAGAGAGAGAGAGAGAGAGAGAGAGAGAGAGAGAGAGAGAGAGAACAGAGAGAGAAAATGGAGTTTCCACTCTTGTAAAACATTCAATTTTCAGATAGCATTATCATTTCATAGTTTTATCTGTGCTTATTAACGAAGTTTACCCTCATTATCCTATGGGCTACCACCACACGAGGCAAACGACATGGCATTACTTTACTCCCAAAATATAGACCTGAAGGACAAGATTCAAACATACTGTAATGTTATCTACCAAGATCTGCTCACTGGTCATGGTCACCTGCTCCCAAGGACCTTAACAACCTTACTGTACAACCTCCTTGCCTGTCCCTGATCTGACCGAATAATAATGCACGTATTTAGTTGTTGTTTTTTGTCAGAGTTTTACGACACTTGCAGCGCAAATTAGTCGGTCATTATAACATGTCGAATATTAGAGGTGTTACTAAAGAGTAACATGCAAAGAAAAAGAAGGAGAAGAGAAGGATTGCATAATTATATTTGATAGAAAAGGGGGAGCAAACCACACTGGAGGACCACCAACCACCCACAAACAACTCATGGATTCATTAATACATTATGAATGTCAATATATCCTATGTAGCAGGTTCACTTCTTTCTTTTTAAAAAATTATGTACGATTTTAAAAGGTTTACTTCTTTCCAAAAAAGCAGTGTAAAACGTAGCTTATAAAAAGAGGCCTCCAAGTAATAGTAGCCTACTATGATTATTACTTCAACAATGTTATGAAAAGGCAGATGCATATTATTCTTTTTGGCTATTTATAATCTAAAGCTAAGTCTACAGTACGCTTAGAATTAAACTCCACAGCAGACAATTTAGCGCTGCGTTTTGTCGAGGCTTCATGTTCAGAAACCACAGTCAGCCAGACAGGCCGCGACGTCAGCGACTTTTTCCGCTAACTGGGTCAGTAGGGCAAGCGGGTTTTCATACTACGTCACAACATGTAATTTTCGGAAACGTTAGGCTACCTCGCGCAACAACATTTTGTTTTCCCCGCAGAGTTATAAATAGCACATGTGCAGGCAGGCACGTACGCCGGGAAGCCCTGACCTGGATTTTCAAAAAGAAACCGGAAGTTACGAATTGCTGTGGAACATTGCGAGTGAACGGAATTTGATCACTGCTTGATGAACGTAGCGCGTATGTTGGGCTAAAGCTCCTTGGGCTAAACAAAGTCTTCGGTTTATTTGTTCATTAGATCTATACTTCTGCCTTTTTTGTGTAACTGTTTGGGCTCTGTGGGGTCCTTCGTTGGTACCTGTATTTTGCTAAAATACTCCTATTCTTCTTTGTGTAGTCTACTGATTGAATTGTATTAAAATTTAATTAGATAAGAGAGATAGATAGATAGATTAAATAAACGGTAAGATAGATAGATAGATAGAGATAGATAGATAGATAGATAGATAGATAGATAGATAGATAGAGATAG